CTGTAGTGATTAATAGGTATGCTGTGTTGTTAGCAACCCAATGTAATTGGGCAGCACCATTTTATTTTATTTTATGATAATAAAGTGATTCTCTCTGTATAATTTAGTATTTATTTGACCGCACACCCTCATCCCTCCCCCCTCCCCACCGATGAACTCCTTCTCATAAATAAATAATTTTTTTTTTTGTCTTTTGTGCTGACATTTCAGGTTAGATTTCAGAACTACATTGTAAGTGGTAAACGTAAAAAAGAAAGAAGAAACGTTGAATAATAACGAAAAACAATGAAAAGAAAAATGAAGTCATATAAAAAAAAAAAAATTATAATAAATAGAAAATCTCTGATAGAATGTCTATTACTTCTTCTTATTTGTTCTTTCATTGACTTAACCATCCAAACAACTTCTCTCCAGATATCTTCTACACTTAACTATCATCCGCTATAATAATAATAATAATTCTATTTAGTAAAGTCCATTTTCGCCTTTCTATGATTTGTTTGTTTTTAAAAGTAAATTAGATTCGCGCTTTGTATGGCGACAATTCAGTTGCTGGCAAAATCTTTCAGATATGGTTTGTATCCAAGCAAGATTTATCTCTGTATTTGTTAAGATTGGAAGGGGGCAATGGACTTTGAGTTTGTTCCACGAACCCAAATCATTAATACTGATCTTTAATGCTTCTAATTAGATCGACTAAAGGCGGCACCCCATGTCTCTTTGAGCTTGGGATGGTAGGTTTTGCCACATCCACCTTATTCAATAGATATCGCTCTTTCAGATTACTGTATTAATTGACCCTTCTAAAATTGTCTGCAAGGGGAAATCCTAAACTACAAAAGAAGAAGAAGTTAAGAAGGACGTAGTTCATTGTTATTTGGACGTAAAGACCGCGAATTCCGATATATTAGAAAAAAAATCAATAGCTAATGGTAGTAATTATATTTAAGTAATATTTTTGCTTAGTTTCAATTTTCTTATTTTTGGGTTATTTTATTTTTATTTATTGCATATACTATTTGATTATTATTTTGCGTCTATTTATTTTATATTATAGATATAGAGTGAATGTTATCCTACCTCACTATAACTAGTCTCCATGTGACAGAATGTTGTAATACTCGATATATAAAAAAAAATTAACAAATAAACCTAGTTTAATCAAAATCGTTAGAGCCGTTTTTGAGAAAACTGTAAACATGTGTTTCAGTGTTGATATAAAATGGTACTTCCGGTTAGCTGATTTTAAGGAAAAAGTTGCCAGGACATGTAAGGCATATATCTATCTTAAATATGTAATATCTTGAGCTAGTAGGCTCCACCAAACCTTCAAATTCCTCTCACATCCAATCCTTACAATCCAAAATCCTTCGTAAAATGCCCAATGCTTCTTACTTTGTTACAAATAAAATCATCCATAATGACCTTAATGTTCCTTATGTATCATATTTGGCACAATCCAGATATCTGTCCTTCCATAATAAACTTCATAACCATCCTAACCCTCTTGTTTCTAACCTTGCTTCCTATTCAATTCCTGATAACCCTCCGAGGCGTCTGAAAAGAAGATGGCCCCGTGATCTCCTAATATAGACATATTATTAGAGTGCTACCAATGGGTAGTTTCTCAACATGTGTTTCATGTCATTATATCCATGTGCGAATTTACCAGCTGTATTTTTTGTATACAGTTGTAAATATCATATAAATAAATAAATAAAATTAAAAAAAATAAAATATGTAATATCAGTTTCGTATGACTTTTCGGCTTCGAGCTAGAGTGTTCACATATACACAGACCATTTTTCGGGACTTGGTTAAAAAAAAAAAATCAATCAATTTTGGTTAAGATTTCCGAGACGAACTTTCCCGACGACTTATGTGAATCAGTGTTTTAAATGGACATTACTGACTATGATGATTGAGCCAAGATCGCACTGAGGTTTTCCTCACTTATCAATTAAGTGTAACCATTTCAATGAGACTAGGTTTCCCAATAAGTTCTACCGATCGCAGATTCGATCCACGGCTGAGGTAACAGAATAAATAATTATTTTTAAAAGCGTTGGATCCAGAGAATAGGAGTGGATACCTTACTCACTGAACTACCCCGTTCCGAAAAATGTTTTAAAAATAAATTAATTTGAATTCAAGAATTACACAATAGTAACAGACCGAAGACTTGAGAGACTCGCATAAGCCTCTTACCCAGTCGACCTGGCTAGGACTCAACTCAATAAATCTGTAATTCTAAGCCCTGCTTTAATACTAAGTTTACAGCTGGCCTAGTTGTGAGGAAAGGGGCGAAGTGGCTCTAAGTAACCGTGTGGAGAACTCTACTTTTATTTTGTCTACCTAAGTAAGTGGCAAGTTTGCCTTAGGTTGGCACAGTTGCCCAACAGTCCCCAGCAGATGTTTGCAGTCTTATTTCTCCCCTTAATTCCTCTGCATGCTCACTAGGAATACAGGATTTCGCTGAAAACACTGCGTCAGTACTACGCTTGTGGGGCTTAGAAGGTAAATTATCCCTCGCTAAAGGTACATATAATTTAAACATAAAGTTGCATAATTGTTATAACAAATAATCAAAGGTGGTATATATTTGAATTTTGTATTACATGACTACATAATAGATAAAAGAATCTCAATTATTACAGTTATTAATTTTTTAAACCTTGTAACAATTATTAACAGACAGGCATAGACTTTTTATTCGGGGAAGGAGGAGTGCCAACGGACCCCCGAAAAAGTAGGAAGTTTATTTTATGTACAAAAATCGAGTTATAATTAACATAATAACGTGCGTAAATATTTGAAAATTTTATTTATTTAAGCTCCTGCCTTTTAAGCCATTAAGGAAACTCGTGTTTTGCAGAACTAATTTGTTACATATGAGGGTGATTCTCAGATTATGGACAATTTTCATGATAATGAGGAGAAGAACAGTTGGGGAGATCAGTCAAATAAGATAGGCAAAAATAAATGATAATATTTATTTTTTCATTTGCCGACGTTTCGACCTGAAGTTCAGGCCATCATCAGGGCTAAGAAAAGAACCAGATAAGAAGGTATGAGAAACATAAAAATTACAGTAAAATGCAGTTGTTAGAATAATGACAATAGTAAGAACAAGAGACAAATAATAATAAACGGTACAAAGTGTGGAATGATGAAGTACACATAGTCAAAAAGGTGACATAAGTATTGTAAAGGGAATCTTAGATTGAAATGTATTTTCTGTTTTACATTTCATGTTTCTCATATCTTGTTATCTGGTTCTTTTCTTAGCTCTGATGATGGCCTGAACTCCAGGTCGAAACGTCGGCAATTGACAAAATAAACATTATCATTTATTTTTGCCTTCTTATTTGACTGATCACCCCAACTATTCTTTTCCTCATTATTCACGACAGTCAACTATTTAACCACTATTAATTTTCATGATAAATTTTTTATAATTTTGATGACATTTAAATACAATTTACTAAATACCTGGTGGGACAACGTTTGAAAATACATAAACATCCTTCACTGTTAACAAAAATTAAAAAATACATGTAATTCAAAATGCCTTAATTTAACATCGGTTTCGAAAGTGAAACAAAATAAAAAATATTTTTTACTAGAAAATTGAGAGTGGGACAATACGTGGTAATGGAATTTTAGTACCTTAAGTAATTATAAAATCAGATTATTCTTTAATATTACGAAGAAATATTTCTTCCCATTATAGCATTGGGGATAAAAATCAAGTTAGACTTAACTAATTACGTATCAGTTGTTATGGACTAAAACTTGCTCCTCAAATGAGAATCACCCATGATTGCAAAACTTGCTACTCCTGCGTTAATACTATTTTTCAAATTATAATCACAAAGCTGTTTCTTTGTGCTTCTTCTGGCTTCTTATTCCACTCTTCTTCTTTTCGCTGCCTTTATTTATTTATTTGGTCCAGGTTTATAAGACATAAAATATTTGAAAATATGTTAACAAAGAATTTGATAATAAATACTAAATAATGGCTTTATGACATAAAAATAAACATCTTTAAGAATTTTCAAAATCACATGAAATGAGAGCATTTAATCCCAAATCTCATTTATTTTACGAATAATAAATTTATATGTCGAACAAACAAAAACTATAAATACATTTTACTACAATGCCATATAAATACAAAGACCCATGAAAACACACATGTGAGCCAATAAAATTCACCTTCTAAACTTTATCGGGCGTCCCAGTTGAGTCAGGCTCGATAGGGTTCTTTTTATATCTTTATATTTATCCAATTTTTTTTTTTTGAAATATAATTTATAAAAAAATAAAATAAACTTCAGGTTATCAGGAAATCGTTTTAAGAGAGACTTGGATGGTAATTTTGTTAAAGAGAAATGTTTTATAAAAATTATAATTTATTTATTCAAAATAGCCTTAATAGTTAGCTTAAAACGCTCTCGCTCGATCCCAACTGGCTTTAGGACCCTCGCCAGATTGTAAAATAGTGTACATAGGTATGTCACTATTTTTTTCAAATTGACTTATCTTTAAGTTGTCTTATTCAGAAGTTTTACGCCAATATTGAATCGTAACTCATTTGAGATGGTTAAAAAACAATCTGTAAAACCACTTAATACAAAAGAAATTTTCAATATTTTTCCTTTTTAAATGATTAATTTTTAAAATGACTGTTCCATGCCTGTAAAAGAAGATAAAACTAGGAAAATCACTGAAGCGAGTGGGGATATGAAAATGGAAATTTCAACAGGTAAATATATTCAAATGGCCCCGTCTAGATATTGGCCTATTGGAAGAGGGGAGTGTTATTGGATTTCAACATTTCACAACGCCTTTGTAGGGATTTCAATTTCACTTAACAATTTCTATACAGTCGTGGGATTATTGAATTATTATCGCCGAAGGGAGAGGTATTTTCTTTTTAGATTCTCAAACGAAAGAAAATGAGTATTTTAAAAGCTATTTAAAAAAAAAAAACTTACATTATCCTGCGACGGGTTCGAATCCGGCTGCGGTGGTGGTAAATCAGATCCATTAGAAACACCGGGGGGAGTAGTCTGTGGTAAACTCTGTAAAAACAATGCACAAATAAATAAGTAAAAAATAAAATAATAGCACTATTTTAACACACAATTATAATATAATGAGGAGTTTTCTATCAACAGTGACTATATCCATGTCCACTTTTGTGACAGTAAACACTGGTTTTGCATTAACACTCGGCTAAAGTGGGCTAGAGTCATCTAATCAAAATATTTTTACATATGGATTTAAACATCTCAGAAACTATAAATCGGGTCTGCATACTGTAAGCGAGGAAACTGTTTATCATTTCATCCTCTCTGTAACAGGCTAGAATTCAAATTGTATCTTTACGCGTCGCCGTGTTATACAGGAGAAAAAGAAAAATAGTGTTGAAAACCAAATGATAAGGTAAGCTAAACATATGGATTAAAATATTTCGGATACTAAAAATCGGACCTGCATACTGTAAGCGAGGGAAATGTTCAGAATTTCATCTTCTTAGTAATGAGCTATTATTTATAATTTATATTTAATATTATTAATTTCGACTTGTTGATGTTTTCACTTATATCGTGTGGTCTGAAGCACACACCTTATTTATTTTTAAATAATCACCATCCCTAAAACATGGTTTTATTTCGATTAGAAAAACAGGCCATCAGGAGAAGAGAAGCGAAGAAGGATGCAATCCAGTTAATTGTAACTAAGGGAATCGGGAAGAGAGACCATTCGGCAATCATCCAGAGGAACAAGAAAATATTAGGAACTGGTTGGCGCCAATAAAAAAAGAGCATTACCCTGATTGCTTGCTTTTTTCCTCCTTTTTTTCGTTCCCGCAGCCTCCCTTTTGAACTGTTTCCAATCAAACGATACCACGTTCCATTGAAGCCTATCCAGAAAAGTGGCTGAAAAGTACCGAGAAAGACCTGACTCTAACAAAAAAAAAAAAAAAAAAAAAGAAAAGGAAAAGGAAAAAAAGCAATAAATGGGTTTCCTGGGGACAAAGAGAAGTCTACTTAATGCGGACACATTGTTTCCTAAGAGCTGCGGACCTGTCTTTGTTCCATCGGAACCTTGGATGTGGTCATGTCCTATTAGTAGGATATTGTGTCTGCCAATCTATTTATAGAGGGCTAATTTATCTTGCTTGCAATTTTTTTATCTGATGATATCTTTAACTGTGAAGCTTCTATTTTCCTTGAAGATCCAACTAGAGAGCGTTCAGAAAACGAATAATTAAATATATATTTAAAAAAAGCCTTCATTTTATCAAAAATAGTGCCTGATTTTTCGGACTTCAGATTCGAACTGAACCCGCACGAAAATATGAAAATCAGGAAAAATTTCTCAAAGGAGTGAAACATTTCTTTTTTTTTTTTTGCAGGACATTGTAATAAATATTACAGGGACTACATATATTCCATAATAAAGATGAATTATTTCTTCATTGATTTTGTGATTTATTTGAAATTTAATTTAATTTAAATTTACAATTTTAAACCTCAGTCTACGAATGTTATACTCACTTCTCTCAAGACGCTCAAAATTGAACTTAAAACAAAAACCGAATACTTACAATTATCTACTTAAGCCAATATGGACCTATGCTTCACACAAACTTTTCATTCCAAAACTTTTAGGACCATAACTAAAGCTCCATGGTACGTCACAAATATTACATTAGACCTTGAAATGCCAACACTTAACGATCACATACGGACACACTTACATGAACAGCTGGGTAAGATTTATGATTGGGGCTCCAAGATACTCCCATGTTTCTCACCACTACGCTGAGTTAAAGTGGCATTTCTCCTCCTTCCGAAGACAATATTTTCTAGGTACGTTCCTCTACCAAATCATCAACAACCATCGTTCTTCTTACGCCTACAACCTTCTCCAGTTCAAATCCTCAGTCCATTCCCTGATCACAAGATCTCGACCTTCTAACTAACCTTTACATGCCTTCTCACAGATCTGCCTCATTCCCAAATTCCTTTATTGTTTGCTCTGTCAATTTCTGAAATTCCCTCCCTATCAAAATTCGACATTCCCCATCCATATCCACATTCAAAACCCTCCTATTCCAATTCCTATCCCAAAAACAGTCAGATAGTTGCTAACCATTCGAGCTGATTTTAATAGAGAATTTGATACATTTTTATTTTTTAATTCCTTATTATTTTCTTAAAAGTGTACAGTGGTCTATCAGTGCAAATAGCTTTAAGTGCCTTGTCATAGTATTAATTGTTTTGTATATAGTTTCGTTTGTTTTATATATAGATTGTTTATCTTATATTTTTTTTATATTATTTCTTTTTGTCGATTGATTTTATTTTCGCCAGACGTAATCTTTTAGTTTTGTTCTATTTTGTTATTCTCAAGGGACTGTGTCCCAGAATAAAGTTATTTTTCTATCTATCTATCTAACATACTAACACACTTATACAAAGTATGGCTACATTTAACATGCCCGAAAAAAAAAACACTTAGGAGGCACAAAAGGAGCTGGATGAGGGATTTCCTCTCTTAAAAAGATGCTAAATTTAAGAATGGAAGGGCTGCCGCTGGGCACTCCTCTCCGTCACGCCAATCAAGCCACTACCTGTACTATTACCGACAGCAGACCCACTAATTGTCATTGCTTATGACAGGTGTGGGTGAATAAATTAAATTTTAAAAAAAATAGATGAAAAGAAAATGATTTATTTCTGATCTGTGAGCTAGCTGAACCAGCTAGCAAATCTCTTCATCTTCTGAAAACCGTACAGAAGACATCCCAATAAGCGGTCTAGGAGGGGAGGAGGAGATATTTATAAAGAACAGCTATAGGTAGGATTCGAGAATTATAATTAGCCACCAATCCACCTAATATAACTGCGAAATGTGATATTTTATTTAAATAATTTTAAAATTAATTAACTAACCCATTAGTAGCATTGTAATAAATTTGGCCACAACTAAAGGATTATAGTATTATTTAAAATACAGCAATAAATTTAGTAGCTCATATATTGTAGTTCAACATTTTATATAATGAAAACAGACCCCCTATCTGTATTTAAACCTTAGGCCATAAAGGATAGAAATTGATATTGCAGTAGAAGCTTCTATGTCCTTCACATGAATTTGACTACATGGAAATCTCAGAACAATTTCGTTTCTGATACAAATCTTCCTCATTTTCGGAGTAAGGAAGCAAAACTTTTGCATCTCTTTTCAAGAAAAGCACACGTGTTAAGAGTCGCGTTCTATCAAAGGAAGCTGTAAAATGAAAACTTTTTACTTTATTATGGCATTTTCTTTTAAATATATTTCGGATATTACTGAACAAATTTCTATTAGTTGTGTTATTTAGTTTTCAATGTTTGTGGACTGTATCTTGACATTAAAATTGAACTAAAAAGGACTGAAAAGACCATATTTAATTTATTATAGACTTAAGTAAGAGGTGGTAAATTGATTGATGTAGTTTTAATTAAATTATAATGCTAGTTGTTTTTTTAGGGTAAATTTATTACAATGGTGTTATTGTGTTAGTTAATCGATTTTGAAATGATTTTAATAGAACTATTACATTTGTATTTGAATTAGGTGGGTTGATGGTTAGATTTAATTTATTTTATTTGCTGCTGTTCTTCATATTTTTGTTCCTCCCTAGTTCAGATTTTTCTTTGTGCTCCAAGTTCCTTTGCCAAGCATTTAAAAGTCTTTAGTAAATAATTTTGAATGAAGGAAAAAAAATTATTTTGGGACTACAATCCCCTAAGAATAATAACAGTTATATATTTATGAGTCTTAGTCTAACCTAGAAGAATATAAAATGATGCCTAATCAACTATTGATTGTTATTCTAATTGTGCAGTTGATTGAATTAAACAATGTATAGACCCAAGTAAATTTTATATGTTTGAATATGGATCAGATGGTGGAAGAGGATTTGTTTGAAGGAATATGTGGACGAAGATTGACGTATGGAGATGGATATGGAGTTCCAAAAGCAGGTAACACGAATGACAAAGGGTTTGCTGAAGGAAGTAGTTTAATGAGAGGGATTATATAAATCTATAGGTTGAAATCTGGTATTGAGAATGTGGATAGAGGAAGGTAGAGTAAAGAGTTCCAGGATGTACAGAGGGTTTTTGGTTCTGAGGACTTAGAAAAAAAAACACTCAGGAGGCATTGTCATCAGGAACTAGGATAAAGCCACTTCAACTCGGTGTACCAGAGTGAACGCTTGGAGAACGCTTGGGGATCCCAAAGATGTATCTTATGAAACAGTTCATGAGTTTCATCAGTGCCGTTTCTAGACTGGCCGGATAGCCCACCATACATCAACAGCCATAGTCGAAGTAGAGGAATATAAAGAAGGTACGAGGAACTGTCTGATTTTTATAAGAATAAATCACGGAATCTTAAGAGTTGTTTAAGAACAGTTAGGGATTTTCGGGATCTGGGAGATATGGTTAATCCCAGAATGATATTGGTCAAAGGTTACTCCTAGGTTTTTGACAGTAAGGAAAAAATGGATAGAGTGGTTATTGAGGTAAACTAGACTCCTCTACTTTACTGTCCAGTAAAGAAGGAAAATAATGAGATCTCTGTATCCGATGAGAATGGTCTTAGTTTTCTCTGCATTCAGGTTTAACTCATCTATTTCTGTCCATCTGTTGATGCAGTCAATGTCCTCTTGTAGCTTTCGGGTAGTCTTAGGCATCTCAGAAAATTGTAAAGAAATATAATTTATTTATATTACATTATAATATAATGTAATTTTCTGTAGAGAAATAACAGAAAAAAATCTTGAGCTTGCTTGCTGGACAGGTCATAGATCTCAGGTAGATATGAATCTTCCAGTTTCCGTATATTTCTAGTCTGCCTCTCCTACTTGCCAAGAGATAGCTCTTCATTTAAAATAAATCATTAATGTATTGTGTTACCTAAACAAATAGGGAGTGGGGTAGCCTATCGGTAGGGTAATGAGCTTCCAATGATAAAGATCCCGGGTTCGAACCCCGGCCCATTGCAGAAAATTTATTTATCTG